CACAAAGAAGCTCAGAGAATTGTAAAGAGGGGTAGTAAAGAAAGCCTTGGGAAAGGAATTGGGAGAAAATGGTTTCCTCTGGATATGAACGTATTTGAAATGTAAGGGACTCCTGTTGCCAACTAACAATCTTTATAATACCCCTATTTTGCCTGTCCACAAACCGGATAGCTCCTACCAGATAGTACAGGACCTTTGGTACCCATACACCCTATAGTTCCCAACCCATAGATCCTCCTCCATATTCCCCCTTCTACTACCCATTTTTCTTTTCTTTTTTTTGTTGGTCATGGGCCTTAACTCTGGGCCTGGGCGCTGTCCCTCAGCTCTTCAGCTCAAGGCTAGCGCTCTACCACTTGAGCCACAGTGCCACTTCTGGCTTTTTTCTTTTTGCTTATGTGGTGCTGAGGAATCGAACCCAGGGCCTCATGCATGCAAGACAAGCGCTCTACCACTAAGCCACCTTCCCAGCCCCCTGAGGATGCTTTCTTTACCATTCCCTTGGACCTAGTATGTTGGAATCTGTTTGTCTTTACATGGGAGGATCCAAACACTTCTCAGGCCAGTCAGCTGACCTGGAAGATGTTTCCCCAGGGTGTTCAAGACAGTCCCCATTTTATTTTATTTATTTTTTGTCGGTCATGGGACTTGAACTCTGGGCCTCGGCACCATCCCTCAGCTCTTCAGCTCAAGGGGAGCGCTCTACCCCTTGAGCCACAGTGCCATTCTGATTTTCTGATTGTTTATTGGAGATAAGAGTCTCACAGGCGAGGCACTGGTGGCTCACGCCTGTAATCCTAGCTACTCTGGAGGCTGAGATCTGAGGATCGCGGTTCAAAGCCAGCCTGGGCAGGAAAAACCGTGAGACTCCTATCCCCAATAAACTACCAGAAAACCGGAAGTGGCGCTGTAGCTCAAGTGGTAGAGCGCTCGCCTTGAGCTGAAGAGCTGAGGGACAGCGCCCAGGCCCAGAGTTCAAGCCCCACGACCGACCAAAAAAAAAAAAAAAGAGTCTCACAGGAGCTGGGAAGGTGGCTCAGTGGTAGAGTGCTTGACTTGCATGCATGAGGCCCTGGGTTCGATTCTTGAGCACCACATAATCAGAAAAAGCCAAAAGTGGCGCTGTGGCTCAAGTGTTAGAGTGCTAGCCTTGAGCTGAAGAGCTGAAGGACAGTGCCCAAGTTCAGACCCCATGACCAAAAGAAAAAAGAAAAAAAGAAAAAAAAAAAAGTCTCACAGCCTTTCCTGCCCTGTCTGGGTTTGAACCATGATCCTCAGATCTAGCTTCCTGAAGTAGCGAGGATTACAGGTATGAGCCACTGGTGCTGCGCCCCATTTTATTTTTACAGGTCCCAGATTTGACTTCTCAGTATTCCCTGTCTGAAAAACCTCTTCTCTATGAGAAGGGTGGCACGGATGGAGAACAGGGATGGACCTTTGTGGGAAATAAGTTGGCCTTGCCTCTGGCCCAGGCTACAACCTTCATACAGAAGATTCATGCCTCACTTCATATTGGGCCCAAGGCATTGTTTGTCTTTAAAGCCCCTCTTTTATCACCCTCAGCTTTCCACCATAGTTGAGTCTGCCTCTCGGGCATGATTTACATGCTCCACCACCCCTCAACGGGGACCTAGGCCAGCCTTTACAACTCATCAAATGCGGGGCTATTTGCCTGGCCAAGACTGGCAGGTTGATTTCACCCATATGCCTACCCACAAAAGGATGAGGTAACTTCTTGTCTTGGTAGACATTCTCACAGGGTGGGTTCAGCTCTTTCCAACTACCAGAGAGATGGCAGGAGTTGTAACTTCATTTTTACTTTCAAAAATTAGGGTTGGGAAATTGGCTCAGTGGTAGAGCCCGTGCCTTGCATGCCTTAGGGCCTGGGTTTGATTCCTCAGCACCACATAAGCAAAAAGAAAAAAGCCAGAAGTGGCGCTGTGGATCAAGTGGTAGCGCTAGCCTTGAGCTGAATGAAGAGCTGAAGGACAGTGCCCAGGCCCAGAGTTCAGGCCCCACGACTGGGCCCACCCCCCCCCAAAAAAAATTATTCCTTGCTTTGGCCTCACCTCCTCACTTCAATCTAATAATGGTTCAGCCTTCATTTCCTAGGTGATTCAACACATTTCTGCAGTCCTAGGACATAGCCTAGTCTCAGCTCAGGAGTTTTTATATAAACTCCAGGTGGCCATGGAATCCAACTTGGTATCTCTAGCCTCACCCCAGTGCCAACTTACCTCCCTGGCACAGGTTGCTCTCCAAAGCCACTGAGACTTGGACCTTCTAACAGCCAAAAAAGGTGGGACCTGCCTGTTCTTGTGGGAATAATGCTGTTATTATATTAATGAGTCAGGTTTGGTAGAACAAAACATTGAGATCCTCAAGCATCAACAATCCAGGGGGCTCATTCTGGACAGGTTCCATACCCCCTTGCTGGATGATTACTACCCTTAGTAGGCCCATTAATTTTAATTTGTCTTCTCTTTTTATTTGTCCCATGCCTCTTGAGGTTCATCCAGAGCTCCATCCAAGAAATGACCAGAGGGATGGTTAATCCATCCATACAATCACCTGCCAACTACCTCTCTGGTATCCTAGACAACAGGCATACAGCCCCATGATGCCCCTGTCCAGCAGGAAGTAGTCAGATGACTATTATGGCTCTATTTCCAAACCAAAGGTGCTGGAATGTCAGGCTGCTGGAGGGCAGAGGCAGCCCAGAAAAGCCATTTCCTTATATACCCACTTGTCCCAATTGTTCTTTGGGGACACTGGCCTGAAAATGGTCGGTCAAACTTGCCAAACAAGTTACATGTTATATATATATAGTCAGTCGTGGGGCTTGAACTCTGGGCCTGGGCGCTGTCCCTCAGCTCTTCAGCTCAAGGCTAGTGCTCTACCACTTGAGCCACAGTGCCACTTCTGGTTTTTCTCCTGAGTAGCTAGGATTATAGGCATAAGCTACCGGTGCCTGAATATGTTTTTTTTGGGCAATGTCATCCCAATTTTTCCTCCTGTCCCCACGCACAAATTGTATGGTTCATTTTCAACAAAGAGGTGACTTTTTTTTTTTTTTGTCGGTTGTGGGGCTTGAACTCTGGGCCTGGGCGCTGTCCCTCAGCTCTTCAGCTCAAGGCGAGCACTCTACCACTTGAGCTACAGCGCCACTTCCGGTTTTCTGGTGGTTTATTGGAGATAGGAGTCTCACGGTCTTTCCTGCCCGGGCTGGCTTTGAACCGTGATCCTCAGATCTCAGCCTCCTGAGTAGCTAGGATTACAGGCGTGAGCCACCAGCGCCCGGCCAAAGAGGTGACTTCTAAAGCAAAACCCAACTGCCAACAAATGAAAAAAAGCTTGTGAGTTAAGGCTGGGTTTTGTGGCTTAATCCTGTAATCCCAGCTCCATTGAAGGTGGCAATGGGAGGATAAAGGTAAGGTAAAGAAAGGAGAAGCGGGCTGGGAAGGTGGCTCAGTGGTAGAGTGCTTGCCTTGCATGCATGAGGCCCTGGGTTCAATTCCTCAGCACAACATAAGCAGAAAAAAAAAAGCTGGAAGTGGCGCTGTGGTTCAAGTGGTAGAGTGCTAGCCTTGAGCTGAAGAGCTGAGGGACAGTGCCCAAGCCCAGAGTCCAGGCCCCACGACCGGACCCCCCCCAAAAAAAAAAAAAAGATGCAACCAAATAACAAAGTAGTTACTTACCCCTTGATGAGAGTATGGGTAACTCTAATTTTCATTCTTTTGCTTATCCGTGTTTCTTGCAATAAATTCATATTGATTTTAATTGTTATTTATTTATAGTGGTATAGATCCAACCCACGGCCTTGTGCCTACTCGGCCAGCTACACAACCAATCATCTATTGTTTTTTTTTTTTTGGGTCTGGTCGTGGGGCCTGAACTCTGGGCCTGGGCACTGTCCCTCAGCTCTTCAGCTCAAGGCTAGCGCTCTACCACTTGAGCCACAGTGCCACTCTCGGCTTTTTTCTTTTTGCTTATGGGGTGCTGAGGAATCGAACCCAGGGCCTCACGCATGCGAGGCAGGCGCTCTACCACTGAGCCACCTTCCCAGCCCCTCTATTGCTTTTTTTATACAAAAAAATTTGAGAATTTTCTAGTGGACGTTTAAAAACAATCTATCACATTTCAGAAAAAGATCTCGGGCTATCTCATGTTCTCCTTCGTCACATAACCCCAAATGTACCTATTCCAGGTGTCTGGATTCTATTTTCCCCTTTGGGGTTACCCTTCTCTAATCTCTACCCTTCTCTACTGAGTAGGTCGGATGGTATGACCTTATTTGACTTTGGCTAGGTCCATCCCTTAGTTGTCCTTCAGTTGTTTCTGACTACATATAACAGGATCTCTCAAAACGGACATGCCAGTGACAGAGGAGAGATAACAGTCTTTCCAATCCGGGTCTGTGTCAGGGGAACTCATCTGTAGGCTTTGGGAGCCTCATTCGCGCCTGGTGGCCAGACTGCTACCACGTCTAACCAAAAAGGATCTGATGAGACCTGTGGCTCCCAAAATGTCCTGGTCCTGCCACTGGAGAGCTGTGTGACCTTGGACAAGTCCCTTCCCTTCTGGAACGTAGCAAGGGAACTAGGTGCTTCCTCCAGAGACTCCTGCAAGCAATGGCCAAGCCTTGTGAACAACAAGTGCCTTTAAAAACTGTTCCTTCCCGACACGCGCGTGGGGTATCAGAAGTGGGGCCTCCAGGGTCTCGGCGCGGGAGCATCCAAGAACCCGCGCCTGAGTTCTCGCGAGATCTCTCCCCAGCGCTTCCCGGCGTCATTCCCTCGGAGGTCGCGGCTGCGACAGCGACGGCGCGTAAGATACTCACAGGGGCGGCCCGTATCCCTCCGCGTCCGTGGGTCCAGCCCTCCGTCCGCGGCCCGCCAATCCCGGCGCCTCCCGACCTGCCCCTCGGCCGAGGCGCTCCCCACGTTCCGGCAGCCCCACCCCGGCGGCGCCGCCCGCCCGCCCGCGCGTCCCTCCGTCCACCTGCGTTACCTGCGTTAGGCAGGAAACCAGGCAGTTCCTCTGGTTGTCTGACCGACCGGCTCCTATCAAGCCCGAGACTCGGATTCTCGGTTCCCGGCGGAGGGATCCGCAGCGTCCGAGGAGGCGGCGCTGAGTTTGGGAGGAAGAGTCAGCTACGGCGGCGGCGGCGGCGGCGGCGGCTGGGGCTGCTGGGGCGGCAGCGCATAAAGGGGCCGCCGCCGGGTGATGCGGTGATCCGCTGCGGCAGCCCCAGAAGCTGAGCGGGCCCCGGCCCTCAGCCCGTCCCGCCGGACCCGCGCTCCCGTACGTCCCGTTTTCTCCGGCCGACCCGCGACCGCCCCGGCGGCCTCAGGCCTCCTGGTCCCTTCCCCGTCCCTCCCCGGTCCCCGTCCCAGCCCCGGGGGCTACTGCCTCCCACCATGGCTCTGAAGAGAATCCACAAGGTAAGCGGTCGGAGGTCGGCTGCGGGGCAGGCCCGGGAATAGGCTTCGGCCTGCACTTCCCGCCGCCGTCTCTGCCGGGCTCGCGGCCTCTGGTTCTCGCTGCTGGCGCTGGCCCCGCGGCGCGGCCTTCACACCCCACTCCCAGTGATGGCGCCCGCGGAGGCCCGGGCGCGCGGCCCGCGCCTAGGCCGGAGGAGCTCTAGTTCTCTCTGCGTTCCTCCTGCCTGCCTTTCCAGGCCGCGTGGTGCGGGGACCCAGGATCTCCCTCCTGGCCGGTAGTGCTGCGCTCCAGGGCCATTGTCCGGGCGTTGGAAGGGTGGTGGCTGGGGCATTGGGCGGCTCCACAAACAGGTCGAAAGGGCTCGTCACCCCATCTATGCCCGCCTTCCCCCCCCCCCCCTTGCTCATCATCCCTTCCCCCCTATTAGGGCACAGCTGCCCGGGCTTGGGGCCCCTGTCTGTGAGCAGACAGACTCCGTTTTGCCCGATGCACAACTGTTTTGAGTTCACTTCCTTCTTAGTTACTTCAGTTCATCTTACTTGTCCAGAAAGTGCTCAGTAGGAAGTTCAGAAGGAAGAAAAGGTGACTTCATGAGGGAGGAGGAGGGCAATGGAAGGAGAAACGTTTTTATTTTTTAAGATTGCCATATGTACTCAGAAACTAGCTCTTAGGTTTTTGCAGGATTGCATCTAAGAGAAAAGCTGTTAGATCGACAAGAATGGATTCCAATCAGTTCAGAAACTGAACGTTGAAAACTACGGGAAAAACTAAGTATTCAAAGGTTCCTTTCACAGTCTCTTCACAAAATAGATATAACACTGAAATTAGCTGCTAGGTCTTCAGAAACCTTTTTACTTACTGATTTTTGGACTAGAAAGAATTTCTCTGCTCTTTAAAATGAAAGATTAGTTATTGATAGAGAGGTTTTCTTGATCCCATATCAGGAATATGGACTTGGTTTAAAATTTAGAGTTCTCCCTCCCTGCAATACTGTAACCTTAATACCATTATCATTTGTTGGAAATGGAAGGATACTACTGATTATTTTACCTTGGTGTTTCATATGGCTTCTCATACTGGCTACATAAAACCTTAGCTTACTAACCCTAAAGATTAGGTGTAGATCCTAAGCTTACTAACCCTAAAGATTAGGTGATGATTGGTTTGCACTTTTTTTTGTAGGTCGTGGGGCTTGAACTCAGCCTGGGTGCTGTCCCTCAGCTCTTTAGCCCAAGGCTAGCGTTCTACCCCTTGAGCCACAGCACCACCTCCAGCTTTTTCTGCTTCTGTGGTGCTGAGGAATTGAACCCAAGGCCTCATGCATTGGAGGCAAGCACTGTACCACTGAGCCACCTTCCCAGCCCTGCACTTTTTCTTAAACTATAGTGGAATGCAAATCATTTGACCTTTTATGTACACCTTAGCTCTGCAGTTGGTCCTCATTTCATTCTATGTCAAAGACAATTTAATGTGGAATTAATTCCAATCTTAACTATAAATTAGCTCCTTACCAGCTTCATTTGACTTCTTCAATCTCTTACAAATGAAAAAGGGCAAACTTTTCCTTCCTTCCTTCCTTCCTTCCTTCCTTCCTTCCTTCCTTCCTTCCTTCCTTCCTTCCTTCCTTCCTTCCTTCCTCTTTCTTCTCTTTCTCTCTCTCTTTCGTTCTTTCTGCCTTGTGCTTGCCTGTAATCCTAGCTACTCAGGAGGCTGAGATCTGAAGATTGTGGTTTGAAGCAGCCCAGGCAGTCAAGTCTGATAGACTTGTTGGTTGTGGGGCTTGAACTCATGGCCTCAAAGCTAGCGAGCACTAAACCACTTGAGCCCCAGCTCCACTTCCAGCTTTTGTGTGTGTGTGAGTCTCACAGACTTTCCTTGCCTGGGCTGGCTTTCCACATGATCCTAGATCTCAGCCTTTTGAGTAGCTAGGCTTACAATGTGAGCCACCAATGCCATCAATGACCAACCCATCTTGAACTTTTTTTTTTGGTCAGTCATGGGGCTAGAACTCTAGGCCTGGGTGCAGTTCCTGAGCTCTTCAGCTCAAGGCTAGCCCTCTATCATTTGAGCCACAGTGCCACTTCTAGCCTTTTCTGTTTATGTGATCCTGAGGAACCGAACCCAGGGCCTCATGCATGGGAGGCAAGCACTCTACCGCTGAGCCACCTTCCCAGCCTCACTTTTTTTTTTTTTTTTTTGTGTGCCAGTTTTAGGGCCTGAACTCTGGGCCTGGACACTATCCCTCAGCTCATCAGTTCAAGGCTAGCTCTCTACCACTTGAGCCACAGCGCCACTTCCAGCTTTTTCTGTTTATGTGGTACTGAGGAATTGAACATGGGGCTTCATACATGCTAGGGTAGAACTCTACTACTGAGCCTCATTCCCAGTCTGCTATCTTGAACTTTTAAAACTTGTATTACCATTCCTTCCTTTTTTTTTTTTCTTTTTCCAGTTGTGGGACTTGAACTCTGGGCCTGGGCACTGTCCCTCAGCTCTCCAGCTCAAGGCTAGCACTCTGCCACTTGAGCCACAGTGCCACTTGGGGTTTTCTGGTGATTTATTGGAGATAAAAGTCTCATGGACTTTACTTCCCCGGGCTGTCTTTGAACCACGATCCTCAGATCTCAGCCCCCTGAGTAGCTAGGATTACAAGCACGAGCCACCAGCACTGGCTACTCTTCTTTCTTTACTCTTCCCTTCCTGCCTATGATTTATAATTTAGAGTCTTCCATATGATTGGTTTATATCAGACTGCCAGAGATTAGAAAAGAGAAATTTAATTTTGCTATATCTGTGAAAAAATGATGTGAGAACAAAATGGAGGTCAGTTTTCCCAAACATTTTGTTCTTTATTATCTAGTCAGTCATTGGGCTTGAACTCAGGGCCTGAGCGCTGTCCCTGAGCTTCTTTGCTCAAAACTAATGCTCTACTACTTTGAGCCACAGTTCTACTTCTGGTTTTCTGGTGGTCAATTGGAGATAAGAGTATCTTACAGACTTTCCTGCCTGGGCTGGCTTTGAGCTGTGATGCTGAGATTGCAGCCTCCTGAGTAGCTAGAATTATAGGCATGAGTCACCAGTGCCTGGTTATGATACCCATTTTAAGTTGAATGGCAGTCTATCTTATTCTCAGTTCAATATATCTACAGTGGAATCCCTAGAAGTCTTTCTTACATAATTAATCTTGGTTTGAAACTTATTCTGTGAAAGAACTTAAATACCTTTGCATCTACATTCTAACAATTAAAAATTTTTTTTTGTTTTGGCAGTCCTGAGGCTTGAACTTTGGGTCTGGGTGCTGCCTCTCAGCTCTTTAGCTAAAGGCTAGCACTCTAAAGGCTAGTACTCTGCCACATGAGCCACAGTGCCACTTCTAGTTTTCTGGTGGTTAATTGGAGGTGAGTCTCATGGGGGAAAAAAAAAGTCTCATGAATACTCTTTCCTGGGCTGGCTTTGAACTGTGATCCTCAGATCTGAGCCTTCTGAGTAGCTAGGATTACAGGCATGAGCCACTGGCATCTGGCTGGGCTTTATATTTGGCAGACATCTTAAGTTGTTCTAACTTATGCTTTAAACAGCAAAGTATACCAAAGAAGACCATTATGAATATATAGCATAGTGATAGTGTTCTGGGATTGTGAGCCTCTGCGTTTTTTGTTGTTTTTGGTATTTATACCAAATGGCCTTAGCCTGCTGTTCCGAGCTTTTCAATGACTTTATAGGTTTTCAGTTTTGAGTTTGATGCTTTTGGGTGTCTGCTACTAGCAGCACCACCCCCAAGCCTTTTCCAGTTGGCTGCATCTGTTGTGGGCTAGGAAACCAGATCACAGAGCTTATTAACATTGTGTCTAAAATAAGATCCAGTAGGCTCTGAGTGAAGATTTCTTGTGTTCTGTAGAATGTGTTGGCCTCTTGGCTCAACTTGCTTCCTGTTTTTACTTTTTTAGTTACTTGTACATATTCAGGTGCCCTAATACTAAAATTATTCTTGGGAAGGGCAAAGATTAACTGTGTGTGTGTGTGTGTGTCCTGGCAAAGATTAACTCTGTGTATTACTCTATCACTTGAACCACATCTCTACTTTCTTCTTTTTGGTGGTTAACGGAGATAAGTGTCTCAATGGACTTTCTGCAGGGCTGGTTTTGGACCATGATCCTCAGATCTCAGCCTCTGAATAATTAGAATTACAAGTGTGAGCCACTAGGGCCCAGATGTTTTGATTCTTTGAATAGTTGAAGACTGATTAAAGTCAGGATACCAAAAAGTTTTTTTCTTTTGGTTTGTCATACATAGGGCTTGAACCCTGGTCTTGGGTGCTGTCTCTCAGCGCCACTTCCAGTTTTCTGGTGGTTAATTGGAGATAAGAGTCTCATGGACTTTCCTGACTGGGCTGTCTTTGAACCATGATCCTCAGATCTCACCCTCCTGAGTAGCTAGGATTATAGGCATGCATTATGGGGCACCTGGCTACCAAAATCTTTTTAACCCTAATAATCTTGTACATTTTAATGGTCTTCTGCTACTTATAGTTAACACTTTGTGTACATAGCTCAAAAAGTAATGTTAGGATCATCAGTACATCTGTTCTTTTTCTATTACACAGATTAATCAGAATTGTAGGAGAATGAAGTCATTTAATGTTTCCATCTTTTGAGACAGGCGCTGGTGGCTTATATGTAATCCTAGCTACTCAGGATGCTGAGATTTGAAGATCACGAGGTTCAAAGTCAGCCAGGGCAGAGAAGTCTGTGAGACTCTCACCTCCAATTAACCACCAGAAAACCAGATGTGATGCTGTGGCTCAAAGTGGTAAAGCGCTGCTAGCCTCAGAGCAAAAAGAGTTCAGGGACGGTGCCCAGCCCCTGAGTTCAAGCTCCACCATCTACCAAAAAAAGAAAAAAAGCCTGGCGCCGGTGGCGCATGCCAGCAATCCTAGCTACTCAGGAGGCTGAGATCTGAGGATCACGGTTCAAAGCCAGCCCAGGCAGAAAAGTCCCTC